CTTCTAACATTGTTTGAAATTCAAGAGAACACTTCGGTGGGTAATTTACTTATATTATTTATCATCCCATCCATTGCACACAGGTTCCAATCTAATCGGAAGGAATTTGTTCTTTATTTGTCTGCAGTTTTTGTCTTTTTGGCTGGGCGTCTAATTTACCATTTCCTAATGACGAACCTATTTTTGGTGAGCCCAATTTATGAAGCGTTCTTTGTACAAAATGCGTTTATATGTGTGTAGTTTAGTATTTTGGACGATAATTAGGGATTCCCTGGGTTCTCTCTTAAATGAACGTCTCGTTAGTGAAGGATTAGCAACGTACGTGCTAGGGGTGTCTGATTTTATCCTGCTCCTCGCCCCAGTGTTATCCGTAATTAGGGCTAGTTGAATCAACGCATGAATGCCTCTAGCAATTTGTCAATAATACATGCCTTCATTAGTCGTTTTGTTTCTTTGCTTAATAATGCAACGTTCTGTTCATTAGATAATAATTATCTCATTACACGAATTTGTTTGTAGCATTTTTTCGCGACTCAAGTTGTATTTGTTGACTGTTATAAATTGGACAATCTATAAAACAAAGCGTTCTTAAAGAAATAAAGAAGGAAAATCGCATAAATCGTTACAATAAATAATTGGTCTTAAGTTATTTAGACAGAAATTCTCTCGCTTGTAAAGCACAACCAATTATGTATGTATGCTGGAATATATTCTTCAATAAAGATTTATTTTATGAGCTTCCGTAACGACAAACATTTTAACTTGTAAGTACTAACGTTACTTTGGTTTATGAATTTCAAGAAAATTAAATGGGCCATTCGTCAAATTACTATTACAACGCGTCCTTGGAATATGTTCAAAAAGTACAAATTCAAGGGATTTTTTCTAAGTCCACTAAAAACTAAAACCATATTATTAAAAAACTGGTAACAGCTCACTTCACAAGACATTAATTAGTAAGTAGCGATAAAAAGCCCTGAAGTGACTGCGTTCATAATCTTTTTTTCGAGAACGTAGGTCCTAAAACATCACCACACATGCGCAGATTCAGTGTCATCTGTCGTCTGGATTTCCTAAACTAAAACCATATTATTAAAAAACTGGTAACAGCTCACTTCACAAGACATTAATTAGTAAGTAGCGATAAAAAAACCCTCAAGTGACTGCGTTCATAATCTTTTTTTCGAGAACGCAGGTCCTAAAAAATCACCACACATGCGCAGATTCAGTGTCATTGTAATATCTGTCGTCTGGATTTCCGATTTCGATGAGTTGTTTGTGTATTAAAAGGCGGACCAGAAAATGTTTAGAAATCGAATTTATGGGCATTTCCATCGTTTGTTCTACATTTTTTTTATTATTTATATAAACACATTACTAACGAAATTTATTTATTTTAATTCAGCTTTGCCTCATTTCACTTCGTTATAACTAGAGAGCGGATTTCTGTCGGGCTAGGCAAGGCCAAACTCGGTACGGCTCGTACGGGATGGGAATTCATTGCAGTTACGAGCTGCACATCGTTTATTTGCGATTAGAATAACGCTGCTTCATTGCACTCTGCTGTTAATTCCCGTTCTCATTTACTTAGACGTTTGATTAATAAATCGTTAATTGTATTTATGGAATAAGTGACGATTAAATTCAGTGATTATGTATCACCCGCTACTGAGTCCCGGCGATCCAGCGCGTCCCCACCTATAATCGTGACGTAGCCCGACAGAAATCCGCTGTCTAGTTATAACCGATATATATATTTTTTCGATCTAAATGCACACATACGTTTAAGTGACAAAAGAAAAGATTATTAATAGTGTCCGACCGAAGGATTCGGTTTTGGCCAGTTTCGGCCCAAAATTGGAGTGTCGACTGAAGTCAGTTTCGGCGAGAAACCGGCCGAAACCAAAACTTCGTTTTATGGTAATTCCTCATTGTCGTTTCTTCGTTTGAAATTAGGTTTCTATCAATTTTTGCCGCAGATGCGTAGGTGTTTAAAAGAAACCTAATTCAGTCAAACAGTTTCATTGCTGTTACAGAATCAACGAAGAAACATAATATGACAAATTTTCTACTCTATTTAGAATGTGTACCAGAAATTAGGTTTATTTTAAACACATACGCATCTGGAGTTAAATTGACAGAAATATAGTTATGTAGTCTCATATTAAGAAATAATGAGGAATTAACAGGGAACGTAATTTAGGTTTCGGCTGACACTGAAGCAGAAATAGAAATTCGGTTTTGGTTATTAAAAACTAATCTGGGTCACCAACGATCAACCAGTAACTAGAAGGCTTTTTTTATCGTTAATTTCCTGTTTCCCTGATACGTTGCCCTTTTCCTCTTCTGTATTGTCTGTCGTCCATTTGAAATTTTATTAGACAGATAATCTCTGGAACTACTGGACTGGTTATTGTACAATTTTAGATTTATTTTATAAATATAGTCTATATATTACAATGTATTTAAAAGAGTTATGTACTATGCTAATCAAAATTTGTCTAACATCTTTCACATCAAAAATTTAATTACGACAACTCAAAATTTTACTAATCGTCCAAGCGGCGATCGTAAAATTACTATTCTCGTTTCTGATTCTGAGATACTGATGTTTTTAAGAAAGGTAGTATATGTATATTGTGACAAACCAGAACTACTAGGATTGGTTTTAGGTGTCTTGATAAGACGGAAGGGAGGGCGCTGTTTTTCGAAACAACTCAGGAATGAAAGCATCCGATTGGTATCAAATTGTAAAGTTCGTAGAGTAGTACGCGAATACCTAAGAAATATGCTTTGAATACGTAGACAATAATTTTATTCTTATTGATTGGATTGCTTAGGTACCAAATCGAGATTTTTTAGGCAACTCTATATATTCACATACTACTCTACGTACCAGCTCTAAAATTGTATACCAATTAGATGCTTCCATGTTATAACTTATAAGCTAAGTAATTAGCCCGAAAAAGGAACCCCCCCCCCCGGCTATCTCATCAAAATGTCCAAAAACAACCGTAGTGCATGTGTACCACAATGTATACTACCCTTCCTGAAAATCTCAGCTTATGAGACATGACCATAGTGATTTTACGGTAACCTCTCCTACAAGTAAATCCTGGTTAAAATTTATAGACTATATGCACTATAGCTGCAATTTATTAATAATAGTAATTACTATTTTTAACGCAACTTATGTAGATTTGATGAAAAAACAAAATTTGACAATTTAACTTAGAAACCACAGGACTGGTTAGTCTGAAATTTTGCACACGCTTTAAGATTGTCGTAAGCATGTTGTAAAGTGATCAGGATTAATTTAATAATCATCCCTTTCAAAAACTTGGATGATGTCATCTCAAAATTTTGTGAAGTAATTCTCGCTTTAAATTTATAGGGGGACAAGAACTTAAATAAATGATAGTCAGAGAGTGCGATGTTCAAAGAATATACATACCTATGTAGGTATTATAATTTTCCAACCACGATCTACATGCTTGTGCATGAGGTGAGGTTTACGTTGTTATCCTAAAATATGTAGAAGGGTACACGGAATAACGATCAAAGTCGCTTTTTTTGTCAAATTGCGATAAGACTACCTACCATCTTGTAGGAAATGCTAAATACTACAGTAGTATAAGGTAAATTACAACCATTCGAAAAACGATCACAGTCAGCAGAAAGAAGGGCTTAACATATCTTCCTTAGGAAGATAATACAACTTGTCCCCTTTTTCAGAATTATATATTTATTTTTGTTTAAGTTAATTACTAAGTGTGTTTGTCCATTCTTTGTGTGTTATTGTTAATTAATAAGTTTCACATTAAACAATAATACTAAATTGTTGTGTTGTTTTGAATCTATTGGGTTTCAAACTTTAAAATTCATTATTTCGATATTTATAAATTGTGACTTTGATCGTTAATCCCGTGCACCCTTCGTATGTATTATCGTTTTCTTTAAAAGAGGGGGTTTTTCTTTGACAATTGTGTGTAAATTAATAAAGTTGTTACCATCAGTACTTTTCGGCAACTGACTTTTCTTTCGTATGAAAAATTCTTAATAAATCCGAGCCCCGAATATTTATTATTATTATTATTATTATTAATCGTAACTTTCCCAACTGGACAATCCACTTAACAGGGAAAGGTGAAAAGAGATTAAATTACATCAGATAAACAAAAACAAAAAGCTCACAACCAGTGTTAAAAATGCTAGAAAACAATTTGTAATATTTCATCATATGTTAACCCAGGTCTCTTGTGTCCAATAGATTTTAGTAGTAGGATTTTTATTCATCCGCCACTAGTTACTATTTGTTTCAAAAAAAAATTGTGAACAATATATTACTGACTGTATTATGATAAATTTGTATTAAACTGATATTATTTTAAAAATACGGATGTGGAGTGTAAACAAAACAGAATTATTTTATAATTAATAAAAATAAATAAATAAATAAATAAATAACTAAATAAACAAACAAATGCATAAATAAATCAATAAATAAATAAATAAACTTGAAACTACCTAACCGATTGTTGTCAAATTGAATATGTATGTTAGGGATACCGTATGGATGGTAAAACGATAATCAAAATTTGCCTAATCATCCATACCATTAATATGATGGCATCCTCTCAAAATATTTCATATTACGTAGGCTTTAAATTATACAAAATAACTCCTGTACTTATTTTTGTCTTCAGAATATCCCCGAGGTATCCAAATTTTCACAAAAAATCAAAATTATCCAGCAACATTCTCTGCTAGTGCCTACAGGGCTTTTATAAATGATCCTAAGAGCGTAGTTGGCCATGAATTTCAAAAATCCCGTTTTGCTGAAATTATGCCTCATTATGACACATTATAATCTGTCAGTTAAAGTCATCCCTTTTATTGTTCTACGGTTTTTCAAGTGTAAATTAGAGTAATTCTCGTTGACCCAAGCTCAAAACATAAAAAAGTCGTTTTCAAAACTCTTGGTGCTTGAGTACGAAAAAATGGTTTACTCTGTTGAACACGACACCTTCATTGTTATGTCTTATTATTGCAATGGAACATTCGCAAACGGAAAGTGGGTACGTTCTGTAACCGCTTGAAAGCAAGAATATCTGGCCAAATACCCTGATTTGAAAATTCAAGAAACATATCGGCTAGCCAGTAATTGACAGCCCTGCTCGTGCTCATACAGCCATGTATTTTAAACATTTTAAACTGTTATAAGTTGAAATGACAGCCAAAATTGATTCAGGCATATTTTCACTCACAATTGCTGCTTCCTCAGTAATGAGAGAACTAGACAACACAATAAGTGCTATGATAAGTGCCATGCTGACGTGCATTTCCAAGGCAATACATCTAAAGCTCATACGATGTTTCTTCAAATATTGGACCTTCTAGAGTTTTTAATTAATAGTTTATAATAGTTATTTACAAGTGAGAAACAAATAAAATATTGAACAATACACGCAAGGTAACGGGTTTTTACTGGCTCCAGAAAGTGAGTGGCTCGCCTGCGGCTCGCCAGTCATATCCTTCTGTCCGACAGTAAAAACCCTTTTACCATGGAAGTGATACGATTTTGGTTGAATTATTTGAGTTTCCGGGTTTGTTTACATCAGTTTGTGAGGTTAGGGTTGACAGCTTTCATTGATTCGGGGTATCGATATTTTCCTCCCCTTAATAGATTTGGTTATTTCGGACCGGGCATGCCACAGAGAGGAAAAAAAACAGGAAGGACTCCATTTTGACGTTTCGTGTCACTGGGAACGGGTGCGAGTGTTTTTAGGGTATCCAGGGCGAAGGGGCTATTTTTGGAGGTAGAGCCCTTATTTTGGCCAGTTGTGGCATTTGGGAACGAGGAAGTGTGTCCTGTGTTTTTGTGACCCCGAAAATCCACTTTAAGGCCGCACACCATCAGAGGTAATTACTCGATCGGGTTCTAGATTGAAATTTAGTCAATCTTCTTTTCAGGCCTTTTTTACTATTAACGTGGGTTTTTTTCGCTTCTTCTTTTCTCCGTGTTGCCATTTTTTTTGCGCTTTTGGCGTGGAAGGGTTTTTGTTTGAAGTTTGGACGGAGGTCGACTAGCCCCCCCCCCCTTTTCTAAATGAGGACACCGTGCTGGACTTCGGGAAGAAGGAGAGGCGTTAGTTATAGGGTAGAGACGCGCTCAGCACTGGCCGGTGCCATTAGGTACTATTTTATTTTATTGTGTTATTTATTGGGTTAAGTATATTCGCGTTCGGCATCTTCGCAACCGCCAGGAACGGCACTGTTGCGGTAGGGACGCAAAGTAATAATTAATTGTAGGCTCCAATTTTATTTATTTTTTTTTTGTACCATCACCCACGGCCTTCTCGGTTGAGCATAGTCGCGGTCGAGAGCCACGTAATGTTAAATACTATTACCATGCTAGTAATGTTAAATACTATAGTTTGTTTAATGGTGCTAGCTATAAACCAAATGGTGCTAGCTGGTGCTAGGTCTAAACTACCTCGGACTAATTTTTCATGAGAATTAAATAATGTCGGGGGGCTAGCGTTAACTTGGGCCCCCGAAAGTAAAAGGCTTTTATTCCAATAATTAGATGGTGCTAGCTTTTTGATTGATGGTGCTAGCTGGTGCAAGGTTAGAACAACAATTTTGAGTAAAATTCATTAACTTGGTGGTGCCAAGTTAACGGACCCCAGAAAAACGCTAACCAAAATTTGTCTGATCATTCGCACCAATAATTTTATGATGTCATCTCACAATTTTGCCGGGCACATCTTACTTAATAAATTTTATAAAACAATATGCTTCTATACCTGTGGTATAAAGTTTACAATTTAATTTAGAAAACTATAAAACCGAGTACTCCGAAATATTGCAAACGTTTTAAAGTTACCGTAAATATGGCAAATAGTAATTAAAAGTTATCTATTGATTTCCTTCAAGACTTGATGGCATTATTTCAAAAATAAATATATACATCAATCCTCACTAAAATGTGCAAAATATTATGGGTATAGGCTTGTGGTTTATTAACGCACCCATATTTTTTAGAATTGCATCTATAGTATAAAAAAATAAATGAAATAATTAATTTTATCTACGACTCTTTAATAATAGACGCATTATGTACGTAACTATAGATACATAATACCCCATATTGATCATTAGTGTTTAATGAATATTAAACACTAGTGAATAATGGATTTATTTCAAAATGTCCTAAAATACTGTTCCTTTTTTTCTAGAAAAATATAAACGTCAAAACTATGTATGTATTCGTTTTTTACGTGTTATATATTTAACAGTTATTATTCTGTGTAGGATTTAAAATTTAAATTTACAATCTAAACGGAATTCGTATTTCGCGATTGTAGATTGTAGATGGCTCTGACGTTGTTTACGTTGCCACCTGCTACTACGGACGCTTAGCCGCCATTGTGCGTATTGTTTTGAATTTTGATTTCTTGCGAAAATTAATTTATTGCCGACGAGTGTTTTTATAAGAGGTTATCATCAGTTATAATGGATGAAAACACTGAAAATCTTCCTGGCACACCTCCCGAAGTGGCAGAAGCAGCTGGTGCTGTTAACCTGTTACCAGAGAAATCTCAAAAATTGTACAAAATAGCGTACAATCAATTCATGAAGTGGAAACAAGAAAAGAAGATTACCTCATTTTCCGAACGGGTGATATTAGCATACTTTGCAGACTTATCAAGTAAATACAAAATTTCTACGCTGTGGACTTATTACTCCATGCTACGAAGTACTCTCAACATCAATCATAACATTAATATAGAACAGTACCATAAATTAAGAGCATTCTTAAAGCGTCAAGGAGAAAATTACCAGCCAAAGAAAGCGAAAACGGTTAGTCCTCAACAAATAACTAAATTCATCACTGAAGCCCCTGATGTAAAATATCTAGCAACGAAGGTAAGAAATTATTGTTTCAAAATTATGTTGTAGGTTCTCATTTATTATTTTTTTAAAGGTGGCTTTGATAATGGGCATAATGGGTGCATGTAGGACTCAAGAACTGCATTCAATGCGAATTCAAGACATCAAAGATTTGAATTCAGCTTTTTTGGTAACACTGCCCAACACTAAAACAAAGATTAGAAGATCTTTCACAGTAACTGAAGATTACTATTTAATATGCAAAAAGTATCTTGATTTACGTCCAGCTGAAGTGCAATCAGATGTGTTTTTCCTTAATTACCAGAATGGTAAATGTACTATGCAGAGAATAGGTATCAATAAATTTGGTGGTATGCCGAAAGAAGTTGCAGCATATTTGGGGCTCCCAAATCCAGAATTATTTACTGGACACTCTTTTCGTAGATCCTCGGCTACTTTATTGGTGGATGGTGGAGGGGACATAACCGATTTAAAACGCCACGGAGGATGGAAAAGCTCCTCCGTGGCAGAGGGCTACATAGATAACAGTGTGAAATACAAACTAGAAACATCAAAGAAAATTTTTAAACAGGTGAATCCCTCGTCAACACCATGTACATCAATTCGAGCTCCTGTAATGGCAGAAAACTGTGAAAACATAGAGGAGTATGCTGCTGTAAACTGCGATAATGTTGTGATGAATCCATCTCCCCCATGTACATCAAGTGAAACTAATTGTGGTTTAAGAGAAACTAGTAATTTTGTTAAAAATTCCCATTCCCTCAGTAGTAATGTCAGTGTTGACATGAAAGGCAAGCCAATACAGATTTCAAACTGCAGTGGCCATTTTACATTTAATTTTCTTGCTAAGACAAGTAATAATAATAATTAATTACTTATTTGTTTTGTTTATTGTTTCTGAAATAAATTATTATTTGTGAAACGTGTATAATTTGTTTAGAGTCGTAGATAAAACGTCGTATTTAACTAGCGCATAATGGCTATTATTCACACGGATGATTTACACACTCGCCTGCGGCTCGTGTGTAATTTTCATCCTCGTGAATAATATGCTACATTATGCGCTTGTCAAATAATATACTATTATTGATCAAATCAAAAACAGCTTATCTCTGTACTTAAAATTCTCTTTGAAGCATACGCATAGTATGCTAGTTTACATTTAGTTTAATAATCCACCCAAATTTTTATTTTAACTTACAGGATCTATAATAAAAAACGTGAAATTCGCACAATCTGATTTTATATTTCCTCTAAGAAACTGAAACTCTAACATATACCATATTAAACCCTTCAAATGAAAAATATTCACTATGAGAAAATATCATTATTTTATAGTTTTTCAAGTTCGTTCGCCCGGTTTAATCCCATCAAACGTCACATTATGTGAGTAGATTGGCCAATAACGGTAATTGTCTCCGGAGACAAATTTCTTTAAATGATGAGATGGATATTGACACATGAGAGACGTGTTTTAAAAATGCATGGTAACATGACCGCAGGTTCCGAACGGACTTTAGATGTTCCCAGTTCGCATTCAACATTAACGTAGTCATACATAGATGCAAGACTCGGTCGTGACGAGTGGAGACGCGACGTGTACAACGACACTAGCAGTTTGATGGCACCCACCCATCACCCATGACCACCAACTAAATGTATTAAAACTTTAATCAAGCTAAGCGCGCTCTGGACACGCCATGTGCCACTCGCTTTGGGCTTTGGGGCTGTATCTGCTTGGACCTCATCTTATTAGAGTGGAAGATAATTGATAAAGTCTGCAAATGGAGCCGCAATTACAACAATGATCTCGAGGGAAAACTTCTTTATGTTGTTACTTTGCGCTTACTAGGCGTTTGTTTATTTTTATTACTTGATTATGTTTAGTATTTTAATTTTCCGAACGATAGCTATTATAGGTATTATAACAATTTCATAATGTTAGTAAATTTATAATAAATGTCTCATTAAATGTTCAAAATCTACTGCATACATTAGTTCAAAACTACGGAATCGATCATATCCTTTGTATTACATAATATTTGATTTAGTCAATGAAATTTCAAAATTATTTTTATGTAACATTATTGGGACAGCACCCCTTGATCACACTTTAAATTAATAAAAGATATAAATTGCGAGTTTAGAAACAAACTCAGATTAGCTGCCCCAGAAATGCAGTAGAGCTAAACATTTTCTTCAAAAATTGATTTACATTGGATCCTTGCCTTAAAATTTAGGAAAGCAGATAAAACAATGTAAGTGGTTCAGCTTTGAAGGAAATTTCTAAGTCAATCTTGGTGTTCACGATCAGTTAAAATGGAACAAAGATTACTTATTAAGCAACAAATAGATAACTAGTATTTTGTAAGTTAATTTTAAGTATCTATAACTTTGTTTCGATTTTCAAGCTTGCTTTTAATACATCTGAATAATAAGCGTAAGTGTTGACTGTTGTTCACAAATTTGTACCAAGTTTAGGTAGTTTTAGATTTTTAGATAATAATATAATCAATTAGTGTTTTAAATTTCAAAAAATACCCTTTTGTAAAGACACACAAAATCAACAAGTTTCACTTAAGGTTTCCCCCGTCATTGCCAACTGTGTCCAAAGCCATGGGCAGCGCGTAGGTTCAAAGAGATTATTCATAAAAGATTATTGACACAAATTAAGACCCAAAATACATCAAACCCGTACATATTGTGTATCAGTTTTATATATGTGGTAGACAAAATAAATGTGTAAAAAACTTTATCGTTTCCAGTTAAAAATGGATAAAAAAAATATAGAACCAGCTTGTTAGTTTTAAAAAGTTTAGAAGAGTTTCAACGTTTATTGTTGAATAAAATTTGCAATGCCTTTGGATGGAGAGTCTTGGGTTTCTTTCAACAACAAAGAACCTCTGCGATTCATTATCACGGGAAACTCAGGGATGGTGTCCACTGATGCATTTGGAGTTATTTATCTTAAAAAACGTGCAAAAATCTTCTCTGAAACCGAGAATGAAGTGATATTTCAAGGCAAATTTCAATTTTTTTTTCATTTATTTAGTAAACCATGCTCAACAGGAAAGGTTCTAATTACAGAGCATATGATATAGCATTATTAGATAGAAGCCGTTTTTAAATAATTATGGATACCAGCAAGGCTGCAGGAAAAGATTTAAATGAAACGTTCTACTTCAGCATAATTCCGTACCATCTGAGTAAGTGGTGAAGCAATCGCAAGGTTTGTATAGTTTCCTCAAACCTATAAGGCGTTTATGGCTTTGACGTTTAAAGTACTTTACAGCCGACCCTTCATAAAGCTTAGTAAATGTAAACCATGCCACGTGCCAGGGACGGCCGAAACGCGAAGGACCGGACTAAGAGTAATTTTGTTTTTAACGTTTCTTCCGTACCTTAATTATTTAATCATTATTCTGCACATTTGAAAATATTATTAAGATAGTGAAAGCAAAAAACATCAAATCTTTAATAAGTACGATCGCAATCATAGAAAACTGGTCCACTAAGTTTTTTGATAAATCAAATAATTTTGACGATGTCACCGTCCTTTGTTTCAAATCCAGAGGGTACATTCATATTGCTGTTATATTAAAAATAATACATGACTAGAGAGCGAAAAGTATGCAGCAAAATTTTGAGAAATATGATCATGTAATATGCATGAAATTTATGCAAATATGCTGTAACTTTATTAATATATGCAGAGATATGCAGTTGCATATCCTCCAAAAATTGTAATAGTGTAATAACACAACTAAATTTATTTACAAATTATAAAATCAGGTTTATCAAGCTTCATTTTTTTAATAAAAAATACATAGATAAATACAATTTTTAAAAATTATTGTCTTACACTAAATAGTGACAAATAAATAAAAATTAATAACAATAGGCCATTTAATTAGTATTTTTGTAGCAATTTATTTTTAAATACTTTTCGAAATATTGTAGCAAAAAATTTTGCCGACGATTCGAAAACATATATTTGTAAATAGAAATGCGGTTTGTAGCAGAAGCTACAAAACACAGTGCCTTCTTGAAGAATAAATTCAGGAAAAGACCAGTACAGGGCACGGTTGATAAAACCGTTAATTGTTAATTTAGAAGAGTCGAATGATGATGACAGTGACTATTTCGATCAATAAATAAGCAGTAGTAGTTAATAAGTAAATAGTTGTGTATGTCAAAATTCTAACTAATTTGCTGTAATAAAAAATGATTGAGTACAAAGTTACTTTGTTTTTACTTAAAATAAAAAAATCGAAAAGCGCAGTTGTCGGTAAATGCAAAACTTAGTCCTGCCCTGTGCTTTTACCAGAAAAGGTCTTTTCAGGTAGGTATCGGTGAGCGGGTTTAAGACATCCGGTTGTGACGGCCTATTGAATTATAATGGGAGTCAAATTGGTGTGAAGTCATAAACGCCTTATATGTTTGAGGGAACTCAAATAATATAGGAAAATTGTTACGAAATAAACACATACGACGCCCCGGTACAACGCCTGGGTTTTATAGTATTTTTGGGGATGATGGGTGACTCATCGCCAATGACGGCAGCCGGACGGCATTCGCTAAACAAAAGCCTGGAAGCGGAAGTGGCAATTGGTGTTCCAGAACAAGCCTAGGAGTGGTGACGGAGACCGTCGGGAGCAGTTAGTGTAGTCCAGACAATGGAAGAAGTAGAGTCTATCATATCCATTCCAGTCGGAATTATATATTTTGTACATAACCGCTCTGTAATAAGTCGTGTAAATTCGAGTTACTAAGAAATACATTATTGAGTTTAACCCACGCCGAATTTGAATTGCCGATCATCGTAACAATATGAAACACACATTTGCTCCGAGTGCTCGGCGAATTAACCTGTAGAGAAATTTTAGAAAGTGCGTGGTGACTGTCATACAGGTAATAGAGCGAAGTAACTTATATATATAAAGAAAAATGACGGAATGTTGAGTACGTCTTATCTGCAAGGACCACACATTAGCCTTTTGTGAAAGGAGTTCCTCTGGAAATTCTCTACGCAGATACGAGCCGTCTATGCCATAAATAAGTGATTTAAGAAAGCGTCATTGGATATTTTCCAGTGCAATAATGTTAGTATAACTACACAGTACACAGACACTAGAGATCTTACGATCATTTGCAAACAGGAGATAGGACATATATATATTTTTTTTATTAACTAATTATACATTTCAAGTGGAATAGTAATTGTCCTTGCGGACTCGTGCAATCCATTTTACTGGTGGATCGGTCCATATTCTTGGTTCTTTCTCTTCATAGCCGCTGGTGAGTTTTCGCTTGTTGCACAATCTTCCTCCATTCTTTTCTGTTGTTGATGCTTTTGTTTCTGTTGCCCACATTCATTTCTTTTATGTCAATCTCCAGTTGTTCTCTCCATCTGTTCCTTGGTTTTCCTTTCGGTCTAGTCTCTGTCGGTTTCCATTCCGTTAAAATTCTTATTGGGTCGTCTTTTGCTTTTCTGAAAATATGATCTTATCCTCTGAGCTTAGCAAAATCTAACTGTGTTTTCTTGTTTCAGTATTTGGTCGATTTCGTGATTCATCAGTATTCTTATTTGTCCATTTTTGTTACTTTTGGGCCTATCGTCCTTATTACTTTTCTCTCGAATACTTGCAGCTTAGCTTCTTCTTCTTCCGTGATATTTGCTGTTTCTATTGCATACGTCACTATTGGTCTTATTGTTTTGTAAATTTTTATTTTCGTTTTCCTACTAACTCGCTTATCTTGGAGCGTTTTCTTATTGCTGTAAAATGCTTTGTATCCTTGTTGAATTCTTTGCTTTACGTTTTCGTTATTTCTGTCTATTATGATTTCTAGATATTTGAAAGTTTCAACTTCTTCA